GGTCTAGACATTAAAATAATCACAAACCTTTATCCCACTTATAGATAAGATAATGACCTTCAGTACCACTGCGAAATAAAACTTATTCAAGCTACCAAATTTTAAAAAAAAGATAAATCTCTTATTCTCTACTCTCCCCTATATATATTAAAAATTCTGAATAAAAAAGTAAGATAATTTAAACATTAAATATAACATAAATGACCTTGTGTGTTTAATTGTACAATACTGGCATAAAATAAAATTTACACATTTATTCATATACACATGGTTGAAGAGCTTTTCCACAAAAAAGTTTATACTGTTCCTTTTTAAATTACATTTAGGTTTATTTTGAGTTAAATTTGTACTTTTGGAGATTTGGCACCGTACAATAAACAACAAAATGATTAGAAATATTTTTAAAAACAAAAAATATGATTTTAAAAAATGCATAAACATATATATTTGATTTAAACATTTTGAATTACCAAAAGCACTAGAAAATGAGGTATGTTTTGAAAAGTGAGATAATGTAATATATTTGGATGTACTACAGTAATAAGTAAATTTCAGCAAAATGGTTAAAAATATTTTTAAAAACGCACAATATGATTTTAAAAGGCACATTCAATATAACAATTTTGAATTGAAGATTATCAAAAAACACTAGAAAATAAGATAGCAAAGGGTTTAAAACTGTGAGAGCGCAATACCTGGATGCAGTAACTGCTGTAAACACAAAAATGCAACAGAATGGTAAAAAATATTTTTAAAACTCAAATTACAGCCAAAGCGCATTCGACATAAGAATTTTGAGTGAAAGATTATTAAAAACACTAGGAAATAAGGCAGCATGTCTTTAAAACTACGAGAACGTAATATCTGGATGCTGTAACAGCAAAAAGCAACAAAAATATTTGTAAAATCGCATTATATGAATTCAATAAGTACATTCGATATAAAAATTTAAATTAAAGATGATTTAAACACTAGAAAATAAGATAGCATGCTTTCAACTGTATGAGAACTTAACATATGTGAGTACAGCTAAGTAAATAATAGAACTGTAGAACTTTATATTATATTAATGATCTAAATACAATTTCAAAATAATATTTTTTTAAGAAATTGACATTTGAATGAAGTAATATTTCATTTAATTAAAACAAATAAAACTTTGATAGGCTGTGCAAAACGTTATAAAAGTATCAAATTTTTTAACTTTATGGAAATTTTAGGCATTTAATTCCTTCTATTTCTTTTTGTAAAGACCACTTAAAATATGTAACGGAAAATTAAGCATAAAAAAATTGACTCCCAGAAACAGTTTTGAAAATAATGCAGCGAAAATAAACATAGAAATAAACATTTTAAGCTGAACTTAGGTTGGAATTTTAAGAAGGTCAACAAATGATTAAATATTATAATTGTAATGTAAGAAAATTAGTTGTTTCAACTTTTGTCCACTCAAACGGTTTCGCCGATCATTCAGTATTAATCCAGCTTTAGAGAACACCCTTTCGCATGGCACTGAAGTAGCCACAAGGCCTAATTTTTTCCGTGATAATTCATACAAATTAGGAAATACATTTTTATTCTTTTCCCACCACTCCAGTGGATCAGATTTCCTGGAAAGAATGGGCTCTTGCAGGTATCTTTTCACTTCTGCCGCAGCTTTGTCGATCGCCGCGTCTGCTGCGGGAGCTGATGAAGTTCGAGAGTCTTTAACTTTACTCTCAAACTCGAACCAAACCGATGATTCGTCTATCTCTTCATCATCCTCTTCCACATCCTCAACAAGATTATGGGTAGTTTGTGCAACTACCGATAACTCACAGATAATATCACTTTCAATTTTTTTGGCGACATCACATTTGAGCCCCAATTTTTTTATTCGGGGGTCAAGGAAAGCGGCTTGAGCAATGTCTTCTCTTGAATCGATAGTTGTAAATCTATTACCCAATTCACGTTGTAGTACTAGTACCACATTTTGTACTTGTTCATTAACACTTTTACTAAGCAGATTTTCACAGATTTTTTGAAGTCCGCCGATTAACACAGGCGCCATAGATGCTGACAAGTATTTTTCCGAACTCAACTCGCAAGTCACCTTTTCAAAAGGTTTCAAAACGTCACAAAGATGTTGGACACTTTCCCATTCTGGCACATCAAGAGCCTCTGGGGGGTCGTTCATCAAACCCATTGTAGAACGAATAGCGTCTTTCAGTTCAAGGAAACGTTTTACCATATAAAACGTGCTGTTCCAACGAGTCTTCACATCTAAGATGACTTTTAAGTCTTTTCTCTCCTCGCTAGAGCAGATATTTTCGCAGATTTTTTGCAGCGATATTACTTCTCCTCTCCTGTAAACTATCACAATATCCCTAATTTTCGTTAGAAGGTCGTTAACCTCGTTTAGAGAATTTGTGACAGCCAAATTGAGAGAGTGTGCAATGCATCCTAAATGTTTTAACTTTAGTTCGCTGTCGACAGCGTTAATCATATTTTTGGCATTGTCAGTCACTATTAAAGACACTTTTTCCATCGGAAAATATGGTTGGCAAATGTGTATGATATTTTCTGCAATATTTTTGGCTGAATGACGTTCATCAAAAATTGAGCAGTCAATCAGTACCGTTTTCCTTTGCATGTGTTCGTCAATAAAATGGCCTGTCACGGCCATGTAACTTTCAGCCTTTTGGTTGCTCCAACAGTCTACAGTCAAACAGATATTTTGTACAGCACTAAGAACGTTTTTTAAACTATTCTTTTTTTCTTCATAAGCAGCAGGAAGCAAGGATTTAGAAACCGTTTTCCGTGAAGGTAAGGAATAGGTTGGATTCAAAGCCTTTGAGTATTCTCGGAATCCCTCATTTTCTACGATACTTATTGGTTGTAAATCCTTATATACCATTTTGATCAGTGCGCGATCGATTACTTTTTTTTTTATGTACATCCATCGTATTTCTCTGGACAAACTGCATTATGCTGGACTGGGATTTTTGTGAAAATACACCAACAATATCACAAGCACTGTTGTCTACCGTAAGTTGTGTAGTCTGCTGGGATGTGCATGGTTGCCCACCATCTGCAGGGCTAGTGACGACAGAACGGGCTGGAGCGGCATCAATATCATCAACATCTTGATTCGGCAAAGCGCGTTTCTCGTGCAGATTTACACAAGGATGCTTCCTTTGCAAATGTTTTTTTTAAATTTCCTGTTGAACCACCTTTGATGGATAAAAGGTCTTTACAAATGTCACACATAACTTTTTCGTCTTCATTAGTATAGGAAAAGTGCTGCCAAACCAAGCTGAATTTCCTTTTCTTACTAGACATTTTGTAATTCGATTTTTTTTTTTTTTTTTTTTTCTGAGGCGTAAGAAACTGATAGAGACTAAGCAATTCTATAACGTACCGATACTCACCAGTACGAGACAAGAATGAATCTTATGGGAAAAGTGACGAAGTTGGGAGATGGTCATCAGCATCGTCAGATAAGCATAAAAAAAATTCTATTAACGACTTCCGCTGTTCACTCCAGCTGCAAATTCTAAAATCAGCACTACGCTGTGAAAAGGGTAAGTGCAATATCGCGTAATGATTCTATTAATCAGGCATGAAAGAGCAAAAAATGCAAAGGAAAAAAGGGAGGGACATGTATGTTTACATAAACATGTCCGGATAATTTCCGGTGTTCCATTCGATAGTTTCCCCCCCCTCAAATAAGCTCCAGAGGGAGTAAAAAAAAAAAAAAGAAGATTCGGACTGCCAGGTCAAAGTTCACCTCTCTTCCTATCGGAGGAGCGTCGTCACGTCCTGGGGGGTAAAGCAGGCGTTGACAATCCTGCGTTAGACACGTGACCTGGGTTTAGTTTTTGGCGAGATGAAAATCTGTTTTTAGAAGGGGGAAGAATTATCATAAGTGGGTCAGTTATCTTTGTTCTTTCATTAGAAAAGTTTAAAATTGCGTCTGTATTTTATGTTGATTGGCTTAGTGATCCACTAGATGCTGTGACATTTTCTGAAGTAGGTACAGCGGGATAAAAAAAGGATCATATTTATTTAAAAAGATTTACGTTGCCCTATTAAGCAAGCAAACGAAAAATATTTTTCATGATTTATGCTAAAAATATGTTGAGGAAAAGGAAGTAATCTAGTTGGTAGTTGATTCCATTCACCAATCCAACAACAGCAACTTACCAAATCAATCATTTCAGATCCACGCAGTTTTTCTCTCCTACAAACGATGAAAAATTAAAACATGCACAATTCGGATTGCAAATCATCTATCTAGCGCTCCCCTCCCTTTCCCTCCTGACTATACCGACTCCAATCACAAGCGAGCAATGCCGGCGACAGTGACTCCAACTGCTACTATTCCCCCCCCCACACACACACACACACACAACGAACGGCCTTTCGAAAAATTTCCACTATTTCACACTCGTCCTCCCGCGCACACAAAGGCAATTAATTATACTACCTCAAACTCTAGTCTCCGTGACGAACGGAACGGAAGTTCCCCCCTTTCACGTTTGCCATTCCATGCCCTATTTCAAGGTCATTCATGGACACAAGGAGCGCATATCACCATTTCGCAAATACAACCAGATACTACTGTCCTCGTACCAAAACCGAAGTGAGCTGAACCCTCATCGATCCTCCAGTAACGAATACCGAGAAGAGACGCATATTTTCGTTACAAAGTAGCGAATACCGAAAAGCACCCGTTTCGGTACAGAAGTAACGAATACCGAAAAGTACCCGTTTCGGTACAGAAGTAACGAATACTGAAAAGTACCCGTTTCGGTACAGAAGTAACGAATACCGAAAAGTACCGATTTACAACTAAGTACCCGTTACAAAATACCCGGTTCGGTAGTACCGACTCATCACTAATTTTAATTACTTTTTTCAATATACTATTGCATGAATATTTTAAGACTATTAACGAATAGCACTATTTCTTAATTATGAAACTTTGTAAAATTTAATCATTTATAATCTCTTTGCAGGAGGAAGGCTGGCTTATGGGAGTGAAGGAATCAACGGGCGAGAAAGGACTTTTCCCAGCAAATTTCACTCGTCCTATATAGTGCCTTTTGAAAATTACTGTTTCCAATTCCATCAATAAAAACAGATAATTGTCAAGGAGGAAAAAATTACAAATAACTTTTATAACAAAAGGAGGATATCATTTCATACAACCAAATGATGTTTCCTGAACCTCTTAAAGTAGAGAATGTGCTTGTTTGTTGATTGTATTGTTTTAATTTCTTTTAGATTTTATTTTGTTTGTTTCTCTTTATAAATTAAGTATATATAAAATTTATAAAAATATTAGAGTAGCATCATTGATTTCTGTAAAAGGAGCTAGATGATTCCTATGATCGGAATTCATAATGTGCCTCCTCGAACTAAGTCTTCCTTTCTTATAAATATGATGCAATAATCTAAATATTTTCATGTAAAATATATTACATTGATACTTCTTTATTTAAGTTTACTTGCCAAGTTAGCATATTCATTGACAATAATTTCAGTTCTGTTTGTAAAAAAATTTATATTTTGAATCAGAAGGCGAATCTTAGAGATAAATATTTGATTTCATCGGAAAAATTAATTTAATGAAGTACTTGAAGTCTAGCTATTTTGTTTGTATCATGCTGATTTAAGAAGTATTAATGGTCCTCATTACTATATTACGTGATCAGTACCATCACCGCATTCTCACTACACGTAATATCAGAGCCTGTTACATGTAAAAACTTAAAATGAAACACAATTATTTCATTAAGATCATTATTTCGAATTAGTGGTAAAGCAATAGCTGAGTGTTTGTTCATTACCTTTAATTCACAGTTTTTTGCATGTTTTATATAATTCTAGAAAATAAAACAACCATTGCAACATCACAAAATGAAAACATCTTCATGTAATTTATAAGTAGTAAATACGATTTATTAAATGATAATTTAAGTGCCTTTAACGTGTAGTTATTACAACTTGATGAGGGCTTCACTGCATTTCTCTTGTCTTCTGTAAGCGTTTCTGAGCTGTTTTGTATTAATAACTTAGCTAAATGTAGTGATTTTCCCAAGATTGGGAATATAATCTGGGCTAATGTACGCTCAAAATAAGCATTATCTTCTATTTTACTAAACTTCTATATGGATAGAATCATTATTCATAGCACATATTTTCATCGAATGTAATCCTAAACTAAAATAATTTAATTATTAAACTGAATTACTTATTGATGATGTAATTTGGTTATTAAAATTAATGAAAGAATCTGAATTTTGTCTGTGTTTGTTTGAGATTATCTTACTGTAGTGAAAAGAAAAGACTTGAAAAGTGTATAATACAGAAATTATACATTTTCATAATCATTAAAATCAATGTTTAAATTCACATACTTACTAAAACGTGTTCCTTAATGTATAGAGAATGAAATGCTACGCTTCATTGTAACAGACTATTTGTTGACAGCCTTCATGACATTTTCAACTCCATAAAATTAAAAATACAAATTTAATATGACGCAGAAGTGACACTGTGATACTTAAATTAACTTTTTACCTTGTAACCGGTTGTTTTTCTTTGACCAGCTGAAATTTCCTTTTTCAGTTTAACGCATACTTGATGAAATTTTGAAATTAATTCCTGCTTTTATTTCAACTGAAGCCAATCACGGATAGACGTCGCTAAACGACATTTCAATAGAAAGAAATAAGACAAAGTAAAACGCAAAATAGCAAAGCAACAACCTTGTGTTACGAGTAGATTTTAACTAACGTTTTATTGATTTGGAGGGGGCATAAGTAATATCAGGAGCAAAGAAATCTGCAACGAAAGGAAAGCCACGGTTGTATTTGTACCCAAAGGAAGAAAACGCACGAAAAGATGTAGCATCTGATTTCGAGAATATTAGTACTCTTATACTCGAGAACCTCTGTGAACGAGAGTAGAGTAGAATGTAATGTAACTGCGTAAATAGCGCATCATTGCTGTCTTATTAGTTAGAAATAAATGTTTGTGGCGTGAACTAGTCTGTTTTGGTTGCGTCATGCATTTCACTGAACCCACACCGCTAGACACAATAAGTTGGCGACGGCTGTGTGAGAAGCAAATCGTTCCCGACTCGGCGCACTCGGTTACATGCGTAAGTAGTGGCAAAACCGAAACTTGGATTAGGGGATTCCCCGAAAACTGCAAAAGGTAGGAAAGTTATTTGATTTTTATTTTGAAAGGATGGAGAAGTTAATTGAAGAATTGATGAAGCTTTAATGGTCGCATTGCAAGAGAAATCGGAACATAAACAAGACAAAATTTCTGTTTCTTTTGATAAGTTCGATGAAACGGTAGAAAATTTTGATTCGTTCATAGAACGATTTGAGGCTTTTTTGGACATTCAAAATGTTCCAGAGGCAAAACGTGGGAAAGTTCTGATCTCAAGCTTGAATGCGAAATTGTATAATTTGTTGAAAAATTTACTCTCTCCGGATAATCCTTCAGATAAAAATTTTACCGAACTAAAAAAGGTTCTTAAGGATCATTTAAATCCTAAAGCTTTAATAATACCTAGTCGGCACATGTTTATTAATAGAAAACAGCATGAGGGGGAATCAATTAGTAGTTATGTCACTGAATTACGCTCGTTAGCGATTCCTTGTGAATATAAAGAGGATATGCTAAATACCAATGTTAAGGGATGTTTTCGTTAGCGGTCTACGAGATCGTAATATCTTAGATCGATTATTTCAGGAAGATGATATCGATTTAGAGAAAACATTAAAGATAGCCTTGGCGATGGAAAAGGCGGTTAAGGGTGCAAATGAGATTATAGGAAATTCCGTAGAACTGAAGGTACTTAAAACCAAGAAAAATGAGTCCAAACCGCGGAAACAAAACTTTGTTGCTAAGAATAATAAAGGTAAAAATGAAACTTGTTCGCGTTGCTTAGGAGCAAATCACAATAAAAACAACTGTAGATTTGCAACAAGTGAATGCCGCTTTTGTAAAAAAATTGGACATATCGAAAAGGCGAGTGTTATTTGTCTAGGAAAAACCGACAGGTTAAACAAAAGAAAGTTGAGGCAAATAATGATTATGATTCGAAAAATGAGGTCCCTATCTATGGATTTAACTCCAGAACGCACATGTTAAGAGAGGAAGAGCCAAAAGACCGCCAATAATGGTTCAAGTTAAAATTGAAATCAAACCAGTTAGCATGGAACTTGATACTGGGGGAACAGTTTCGGTAATGTCTATAAATAAATTTAGAAAAATTTCCAATAAAAAGATTCAGCCTACAAATTTAGTTTTTAAAACTTACAGGGGTGATAAGGTGGTACCTTTAGAATATGTTCCTGTTAAAGTTGAATACCAAGGTCAAAAATTAGTTTTAAATTTATACATTGGGAAGGAAAATTTGGACACAATCTTCGGCCGAGAATGGCTGTATAAAATCAATCTCGATTGGAATGCCATCAAAACATTGAAAACTTCTAGTGAATTGAATTTAAAAAAATTGCTTGAGGAGTATAAGGAAATTTTTTACGGTAAATTAGGTGAAATTAACAATCACGAAGTAAAACTAAATTTGAAACCTAATACTCAACCAATATTTTGTAGGTCACGACCGGTACCTTTCGCATTAAAAAATAGAGTTGAATCAGAAATTGATCGGCTTGAGAAAGAAGGTATCATTGAGAGGGTTGAGACTTCAGAATGGGCAACACCAGTTGTGCCAATTGTTAAATCTGATGGTTCCATTAGGCTTTGTGCTGATTATTCTGTGACTCTGAATCCTAATTTGGAAGTGCCACAGCATCCATTACCAAAACTCGAAGAAATATTTTCATGCCTTAATGGAGGTAAAAATTTTTCGAAACTTGATTTCAGTCATGCTTATCTACAAATGAAGGTGCATCCGGAGAGCCAACGATTATTAACAATAAACACGCATAAGGGGTTGTATATTTGTAAACGCTTAATGTATGGATTAAATGCTGCCCCAGCTATTTGGCAGCGCTATGTTGAGGGATTATTTCAGGGGATCGAAGGAATTAAAATTTTTATGGATGATGCTCGAGTGACAGGACCGGATGATCAGTCTCATTTAAAAGCATTGGAAATATTTTTCAAAAAAATGCAAGGAGCACGGCCTAAAATTAAACTTAACTAAAAGTAAATTTTTTTCAAAATGAGATTAAATTTTTAGGGCATAAAATTGATGCCGATGGATTGCATAAAACGGATGAAAAGATTTCGGCAATTGCTAATGCCCCTACGCCGAAAGGCGTTCAAGACATCAAAAGCTTTTTGGGATTAGTGAATTTTTATGCCAAATTTTGCCCTAATTGGCAACTTTGGCACATCCCTTAAATAATTTAACAAAAAAAGATGTTAAATGGAGTTGGTCAAAAAAACTGCCAAATCGCTTTTGAAAAAAAAAAAAGGAAATTTGTTCAGACAGAGTTTTAATGCATTACGATCCCACATTACCGTTAATGCTAGCTACTGATGCATCTCCGGTAGGTCTTGGGGCAGTGCTCTCGCATGTTTTGTCTGATGGAACAGAAAGGCCTATAGCATTCGCATCGAGGACACTGACTAACACAGAGCAGAAATACGCCCAAATCGATAAAGGAAGCACTGTCAATTGTTTGGGCTGTCAAAAAGTTTTATCTATATCTAAAGGGAAGACGATTTTCTCTGGTGACAGATCATAAACCTTTAGTGGCTATTTTCAAATCGAAAAGAGGACTTCCTATCCTCACAGCCACCCGACTCTTTACATTATGCACTGATATTGCAAGCATATCAATTTGATATTGTGTATCGAAATACCAAGGAACACGGTAATGCTGACTGCCTGTCGCGCCTGCATCTTAAGTCCGAAGATTTAAACATTAAGGATGATGTTGAAATATTCCAACTCTCCCAAATTGAAACACTTTCGGTAACAGCTAGGGAGATAGCTCGGGAAACGCGAGCTGATGAAGAATTAAATAGTCTTTATATGAAATTAAAATCTGGAGAAAGTTTGGAAGGTAGGGAAGCTGAGTATACCTTACAAGATGACTGTATAATGAGTGGTCAGAGGGTAGTTGTTCCGAAAAAACTCAGAGTTAAAATTCTCGAAGAGTTACACCAAGGACATTTAGGAATCGTTAAAATGAAGGCAATCGCCAGATCCTTACGTCTTTTGGAAGGGAATTGATCATGATATTGAAGAAGTTTCTAGGAAACTGTGTCGATTGTATTTAAGTTCAAATCAGATCCAGTAAGAGCAAGTTCCATCACTGGGAATATCCAAGTGCGCCTTGGAAACGCATTCACGTAGATTTTGCAGGCCCTATTTTTGAACGAATGTTCTTGATTATCATTGACGCACATTCTAAATGGCTAGAAGTGTATACCTTAAAGTCAACAAATTCCTTTCAGACAATTGAATGTTTGAGAGACTGTTTTGCAAGATACGGACTGCCTTTAGTGAGTGACAATAGTCCTCAGTTCACATCGGGGTAATTTGAAACTTTTATAAAGAATAATGGAATTAAACACAAAACGTGTGCTCCATTTAAACCAGCAAGTAATGCACAAGCAGAGCGGTACGTTTACACAGTTAAACAAGCATTACGTGCAATGCAAGGTTATCCAGGAAATATTAAGCAAAACTTGCCATATTCCTCATGAATTACAGAAAGGCACCGAACATGACAACCTTGTTAAGTCCAGCAATGTTATTCTTAAAAAGAGAAATTAGAACTCGAATTGATTTAGTTGTTCCAAATCTTAAACGAAGAGTGGAAGAACGCATCCGAAAGAAAAAATGATGTATTCAAAGACAGAAATTTTGAGATCGGAGAAAAGGTTGCCATTCGGGATTATAGATCGGCAAATTCTCGATGGAAAATTGGCAGAGTGACAAATAAGGATGGAGCGCTGCATTATACCATTGACGTTCAAGGAACTTTACTGCGCCGGCACGTCGATCAGATCAGATCGGTAGGGAGCGAGGTTCCGTCTGCACCGGTAATCTATGAACCTCGTATGGCTGCTACTTCAGATGGAAACGTGAAGTCACAGGCTCCGGACAAGGACATCGAACAAAGAAGTGAAGTTGTGCAAACTTGAGCCGGACTTGAAACATCGTCAGTTCCAAGGAAAACTGATCCAGTCCTTCCAGGGGATCCTGATAAAGAGTTGCAGCAACCTCACCCAGAACTTAGATGATCTTCGCGCATCCGCAAAGCTCCTCAGAGATTAAATCTCTAAATAAGTGGGGAGGG